GTAATCTTATCTCCTTTCCAATTGCCATAAGTGACTTCGTGGAAAGTTGAATCATGCAGATGCATGGCTACCCTTCTCGCCCGATGATCTTCAAAGAGTTTTCACTGGGCTTTTAGTATTTCGGAATAAATAAATAACTCCATCCACCTGTATCATGTATCGCCAAGAATTCTATTTAAATTGCTTATTAAATTTAGAATCAAAATTTGAGTTGTGTTTAAAAGATTCAGAGCCGTAAGTGCAGTTATTGATGCGAATAAAGCTTAAATTTTGTGGTTTTTTCAATCTAATTGAACTTCTAATTGTATTATTGTTGTAAGTTAATTTGAGCATGTCTCAATCAAGAAGAATTTAGAACAAAAGGATTGAAAAGTTGGTTGTACAGTGATCTATAAGACAATACAACTCTTTGTTTTTTTTTTTCTTTTTTTAATTCAATTAATTGCTAATTTATTCCAATATAAGCCTTGAATAAATTTTTGATGTTCTATTCTATAATAAACTAGATTAATAGGATTAAAATCAACCTACAAACCTCAACCTAATTATGGTTATAAATAAGTTTATCCTACATTGATCCTTGTATAGTTTAATTTTTTTTTATTGAGACCCTCTATAATTTTTCCGTTTAATTGAAACTCTTTACTCTTTAAAATTTATTGATTCGGATCCTCTCGTTATAACTCCATCAAGTGTTCGTCCGACATAATATATTACAATTAACGACCATCAATTACTTATCGACACGTGGCATTATAGGTCTCAAATAACAATTTTGCCATCCAAAATGTTTAAACAATAAACTAATATTTAGAATTAAGAAAATAAATCATAAAGACAAATTTGGTCTCGTCTCATTATTCTAAAATCCATTCCTTTCTCCTCGCCGTCTCTTTCTACATAGACACCAAATCTATTGCATTCCCTAAGCTTTTTCGTTTTCTTCAAATCCTAAAACTTCAAGTTCCTAACTTTGCTTTTTCTTCTTCTTCTTTGATTGAAATCCTAAGCTTCCTCGCTAGTACTTCTTCTTGTTCTCTCCGATTGAAATCCTAAGTGTACTAATAGATAGTTTAATAATAAAAATCTTTTAAATTTTAGTTTTTTTTTTTTTTGGACAGAATATCGTGATACTTGGGACCACTATGCCACATGTATATTTGTGATTGGTTATTATTAATTTTAGCGTGCCACATCGAATAAACGAGTTAATAAAGGATCTAAATCAACAAATTTCTAACAGTAGAGAGTTTTAATCAAGCTGAAAAATTATAAAGGGTTTTAATTAGAAAAACTTGAACCGAACGAGGGATCGAAGTAGGGTCAACTCGATTATAAATCGAAGCTTGTAGTCCGCCAAGCTTACAAGAAGACAAATCGTAAGAATAATTTATTATCGATTAAAATCACTTTGATTTAATAATATCTATTTCCCAAACCTAATTGGATCATTATACTACCGATTTATAAATTAAATAATAGACAAGCTATTGAAGGTAAGACTAAAATGCTCAACAATTCACAAAATTTAAGAGAAAACTTGCATTCATTGATGAAATAGTCTTTACACAAAGTAGGATCCTTTTTTACATGATTTATCACATGAACTCACTATAATGGAAAAATCAAGACCTTATCGACATTGATTATAGTACCGGAGAGAATTTTAGTAACCAAATTATAGCCTACTAATCATTTGCCTTCAATTTATTATCTACGAGTTTATTAACTTAAGAGTTTCAGTTTCATTGATACTCAAGAATGCTCTAAAAATTGTTTGCAATTTGCAAGTTTTGTTGTATTTGATTATATTATTGTGTATGTTTTTCTTTTATGTTGTAGCTTATAGTTGTAGTTATTTCGTCTTTTCATGATCCTTTATAATGCTCTATGGTTGTATACAACTACTCACGTTGTCTTATAGTGCTCCATATATATTGTTCACTCTTTTCATAGTTTTCAAAAAGTTTAACATACATAATTATATTTTTATAATTAGCTTAATCTAAAAATACATAAGCAACAAGTGCTTTAATATAAACATGATAATTTCAGAAATCTTTGGGCTTTTGGGCGTAACCTAAGTTTTGGATATAACAATTATCAAATATATATGCACTTAAACTTTCAAGGTGGATGACTCATTCTCGATTTCATATATTTGTTAGGATTCTATTAAATATTATGATGAAGAGGTATTGTGAAGTATATAATCAATCAATGCTACAAATGAGATTGATTAAAGATCCCGATTAAGGAAAATTTATATATAAGCATACTTATATGTAGCTATATGAATTCAACTATCAATTCATTTGTTTTTTGTTTTAGATTTCTACATGGAATCATAGCAAATTAATTGGACATTTTTCTAGTTTATTTTCCAATAGGTGACCTTTAAGACCTTTATTCTTAATTTGTCACTTGTTTGGATTTCTCTCTTCTTTCTTCATAGCAAACATTTTGTTCCTTAATTCTTTATATATATATATATATATATATATATATATATATATAATTCAATGTGTAGATAAATTTATGAGAAATAATTAGTTACATATATAGGAGTTGTACTCTCATTTCACATAAACATGGAACTCGCCATGTGATATATCCAAAATTCAATTTAGGCCTAAATCCCAATATATTGGATCATCTAAGAAAAACATGCTTGGGTAATTAAAGAGTTAACATTTTTAGGGTGAGAAGTTTATCATAGACTCTTCGAATTATGATAGTTAAATAAGATAAACATGTAATATAATTTTTTTAACAATTAGGAAATATTTTAATGCTAATGGAGTGTGGTAATAGCAATAACGGACTCTATAATTAAGCAAGATAATTATGTAAGTTAAAATTTTTAACACTTAAAAGAAAAGTAAGCAGTTGGAATATAATGTGGAGCATGATTGTAGCAGTTGCAAGACAACATAGAGCATTGTAAGGCAATGTGAGCAATTGGAAAGGAACATAGAGCATTAAAAGAGATCATATAAGGATAAATGGCTATAAATACGAGCTACAATAAGAGAACAATAATAATCAACTCAATAACACTTCCAATAGTAAGACACTCCCAAAGTTCTTTCACAAGTTTTAAAACACTTGAAACTTTTTGGACGAGTAGTAACGTATAGGCTATAGTAAGTAGACAATAATCAAAGAAGACTCGAAAGTTTGGTTTCTTAACATCATTTTATAACTACAATTCATGTCTATAATTCTTAAGAATTGAATTTTTGCAAGAACATCATGAAAGAATCCCGATTTGTAAGTATTTTTTTTCATCAATAAACGTAAGGTTTTGTTTTTGTTTAAATCTTATTCATTGTTAAGTTTACATGTTGTTTGATTTTAGAGTTAATGACATGAATGTTTGTTTTTTATTACAAAAGAGATTGAAAAGTTATTAGTTTAGAATGATCATTTTAGTGAATAGTTAATCTTGTAATTTGCATCATCTCAACTTGTCTAGATAGATTGCAAACTTCATTCGAGGTTTGTAAACTGATTTCAACTTGTCTATTTTAATTTTGTATTGGAAAAAACACCAAAAATATCTTTAGAACATCATTAGAATACATAAAATATTAAATTTAATTTATAAGAACTCAAATATGGAAGTTGGGTGCTTTGCAACTAACTGTCGAACCATTCAATTTTCATTCTTTTATTATAAAGTCTTTGACAATTAAAATAGGAACAAAAGAACCAGCAATACCTTGAAAATTATCTATAAATCTCACTTCTACATGTGAGAAAGAAAATTAAAATTCCTAAAAATTTATCTGAAAATTGTATCTTCCACATTAATATGTATTTAGAAGAATCACATCCCATCAAATCAATATTAAAATAAAATAAACATGCAACCTCACCAAAGAGTTAATGATTGAGAATGGAATCCTAACATCCAGAGGAATGTATTTTCTCTTCGTCAACTGAATCGTCCCCTAAAACATGCTTTTAGTTTGGAAAATGAGTGTTCGGAAAGATTGCATCCGGACCAAAATCGAATTCCATAACTTCAACTGTACTATGTGTTCCCCTTTACAACTTTAAAACAACCCGCTTGTCTGTCCTCGTTGAAAGCCTTGGTAGTTATCAAAGTAACCCTTTCAAATAAACGGGTCCAAGGGAAAGTCAAGATTGAAGATAAAAGAGATTAATAACTAAAGACCCAGCCAAAACCCAAAAAGGAGTCTGTCTGAACTCCGAACGCGTAATGAATTGTAAAAGAAACACAGAACCATTAGAAAGATCAAGACTGCAGATAAAAGAGATTAATAATTAAAAACCAAAGCCAAACTCTGAAAAGTAGTCTGCCTGAAGTCTGAAAGCGTAATGAAATGTAGATAAGAAACAGAGAACCATTAAGAAAGATATTCAGGAAGGAAAGGTCTTCTTGGTCTTCGCTGATTTGATCATGTGGACTTAGATATCTCGTCCACTTCTGTCCTTTTCAGTTCAATATTTTCGTTCTTACACGCCACTCTCTCTCTCTCTCTCTCCCTCCCTTTATTTCCGTGTTTGTACACGTGACTGGTTCAATGTTTTCTCCTTTTTAAACTGTTTCTTTTCTTTCTCGTCTTGTTTTCCACCCTCATTGCTTGTCTAATTTATGTTTTATGCTTTGGTTTTGAATCAAAATTCCTTTTCTTTTAACTCCACTATCTGCCCATTTATACTTGTCTTTAAATTCTTGGTTTATTTTCTGCTATCATCACTTTCTGCATTATAATTCCTCTGATCAAAGTCCAATTCTTTCTTTGTTGTGTTTACACTTTGTATTCATTCCTCAACTGGGTTTCTTTGTTTGCTTCTCTTTATATATATTTTGCTTGCTTTTCCTTCATTTCTTCCAGGTTCCATTTCTTTATTCCGCTGTTCCTTTTTAAGCCCTTTAAGGCCCCCTTCACTCTTGCAATTCCAACAATTGTAACAATCAGAGATAGTACTTGTGGCAATTTTTAATATTGAAAGCTTAAGGAAAAGCTATGAAGTGTTTCTATATTTTTAAGGATAAATCGAAGAACAAGAAAGGAAAAGCAAATTCGGCCCCAGAATTGAGAGACCAAAGCAACTCAGATGGTTCAGCTTTGAGTCGTACAGCAAGATCCTTACCATCTCCAAGAAGCATACCTGAATTGTACAAAGAGAAGGAGCAGAATTTGCGAGTTTTCAGTTTTCAAGAGCTTAGAGAGGCAACAAATGGTTTTAACAGATTGCTTAAGATCGGAGAAGGTGGCTTTGGGAGTGTGTATAAGGGAACAATCAGACCTGCTAGTGGTCAAGGTGATCCTATAGTGGTTGCTATTAAAAAGCTCAACAAGCATGGCTTGCAGGTACAATCTCGTTTTTTCTTCGTGATTTCTGCTCTTAATTTTTTATTTTATTTTGTTTATGTTCTTAGTTTTTTATTTTTTTCAATTGCCTTTTGCATTCAGTATTTTATTTTGGTTGGAGTAACTATATGTATGAACTTCTTGTTATAACTTGAAAAAATGTCATGTTTTGCTTTGATCTTCACGATCAAGGTGAAAAAGATTTCTTTAAAAAAAATGGTTGAAGACGAATGCCTTTTTGGTGATTGTTGATCACAAAATGGTAATGTACTATATAATTTCGAGTCTTAAAATTACTTCATAAATACTAAATTTCAATCTGTTGAGGGAGTTAATGTAGGAATCAAAATCTGACAGGATCATGTGAAGAAATGTCTTGACTGTCTACCTTACATGAGATACAAATTATGTCATTTTGCTGCCAACGACGATTCCATTTGGATATGCAGGAAGTCTCGAGTTCCATTCTTAATAATGATAGACTAATAATGTTGGTAGTGACAAATTAGACTTTGTAAAACTCGTTTGGTGATTGTTGCCAGTTGCACATATAGGACACAGGAGAGTATTATGAATGAGCAAAAAGTCGGGCATCATCACAACATTTAGCAAGAGAAAAGAAGCAAAGTTTAAATGTACAATAGTCAAGAATATGCAATAGGATTAATCACATAAAAACGTCTCACTATCTTTTTAGATTTTATTAATATGATTTTTTTATTTTTGAATTTTTTATGCGGTTTTCTGATGGCTTTCTGATTAATTTTCCCATTAAAAAAAAAAAAGGTATAAGAACACATTATGCATTGTTTTCTCTCCAAAACAATCGATCAAACCAGCTAACCCAATACCCATTCCATCTTTACCAACAATTCAAATCCTTCTCCCTCTCCTATTGAACGGTTAAATCTATACACATGTTTGGAGTGTTGTGGTTGAGTTGGATTGAGACAGTGGCAAATGAATGTTGCGCAGTAGTGGTTTAATGTGGAAGTGATTTGGTGGTGCTGGGTTTTATGTGAAAATGGTTTTGATGGTGATTTAGTGGGTGGAGCTCTTTGGTGGTGGTGCTTTTGATAGTGAAGAACTGAAAATATATGGCTGCGTGTTTGATAAATGAATCTATTAGTATCTATTTTGAAGATTAATTCCCCTTTACTTTCCTTGAAACCTCTCATTACAGATTTTATTGAGACTGAGCTTTCGAAAGTGTGATCTTTTCACTGGGGATTGGATTCCCAATCCCTCCGAACCAATGTACACCAACGCTAGTTATTCTTGATTGAAAGTTGTCATAATTGTATGAGGAATGTACGATCAGATTCAGGCTTTTTTATTCTCTAGGTGGAACCCATGAGACTCAGTTACCACCGTCGAATGCCAAAATTTTAGAGATCTTGTAAAAGATGATTGAATGTTGATTCATCTTAAAAGGATTGTTAAGACTTAAGAACTTCCATTAATCTTGAAAAGGATGACCATCAAAATGGTGAGAGAGAGGATTTTTTTTTTTTCCCCTACCTAGGTTTATCCTACCCGATGTGAGAGAGAGGGAGTTTTGACCTTTTTTATTTTTTTTTATCACTTTTCATCATTTAATTTTGTTTCTCTACTTTGATGGTGGTCGGGAGAGTCATTGCATATAAGATGGTGATGGGCGTATATTTGAAGAAAGTAACCAGAGATTGGAATATTTATTTAGGATTGTTTATTTATTTATTTATTATTTTATTGTTTTTTCATTTTCAGCGAAAATATTAATTTTTTTATTTTTTATTTTTTGATGTGTAGAAAATTAAACTGATATGTCATGACACATAATATTTCATATGATTAATCCATCTGCAATAAGGAAATGAATATCGCATCTCCTAACAGTATATAGTTGAAGCCGAAATTTTTTGGTAATATTGATGAATGTTGGCCTTCGTTAATTGTTACAATAAGTTTCCTTCCTTCATTAACTGTTATATGTTTTCTTTTCGTTATTGTTTGTATATCTCTTCATTTCAGCAACTAAAACCTGTTTCTGTTGGTGACGTCCTTTTCTGATATAGGGTCATAAACAATGGCTTGCAGAAGTTCAATTCCTTGGCGTTGTTAGTCACCCGAACCTAGTGAAACTTCTAGGTTACTGCTCTGTAGATGGTGAAAGAGGGATCCAAAGGCTGCTGGTTTATGAATATATGCCTAACAAAAGCTTGGAAGATCATCTTTTCCACAGAGGTCTACCCACTCTGCCATGGAGGAAAAGATTAGAGATAATCCTTGGTGCTGCTGAAGGATTGGCTTACCTGCATGGAGGAATGGAAGTCCAGGTACTGTTTCTATGACCTAGATGAGCTGAATTAATGGTCCTGTTAGCTGTCACTGTTCAAAGTCAAAATCTGTTGTGATCTATGAATATGATTACAGACTTAGTTGGTATTGGCTAAAAAAATTTGTGCACAGGTCTTGAAGTCAGAAAGTCATTCTGTATAACTAACAAGTTGTTAGTCTAGTGATAAACAAGCTAGTCCTCGGACGAATTTTTTGTCAATGTACAGGATTCGAATCCTAGAATAGCACTTGTTGGGAGAGATAAAATTTTGTCGATTCTGCTTCGAATATGATTAGTCTTATCTCCAATGTGGACTGAAGATACCTATGTGAAACCAAAAAAAAAAAAAAAAAAATCTTTAATGTAGATTATTTGGCCCATTATGTACCATCAAACTGGTTGAGTCATACAGAATTGAGTTCCTGGTTTAGACAGGTCGTTGCTTCATGAGAGAACATCTTTTCCTGGCTCCCTGCGAATTGATAAGTCTCAAGCCCCAGAAGATGATATACTGTAGGGGATTTGATTAACTCATTAAGCATGCCTCAAGTTTCAGAAAAGGCATTTTCTGAATCTACTGTTCGGATGTATCATTGCATAGATGAGAAGTTTCACCATTGCCTAGTTTTACACTAAAGGATATTATAGTGAAAAATTCGCCATGTATAAAACCTTGGTAGGGCTCATTTTCTGCATCCAATTTCTTATAATTATTTATTTATTTATTTTTGAAGCTGTGAATTGAACAAATGGCATTGCATATCTTATTTTGTTTATGAACGACCTTATCGTTCTTGGCTTCACAATGAAAGTTTTGGTACATTTGAAGACAGCTGCTTATCGATTATAGAATTTTAATCTTTTTCCGTCACAATTGTATAGGTTATTTATCGAGATTTTAAATCCTCGAATGTTCTTTTGGATGAGGACTTTGAGCCGAAGCTCTCAGATTTTGGGCTTGCTAGAGAAGGGCCTACGGGTGACAGAACTCATGTATCCACTGCGGTGAGTAACTTTAAGACATTAAATGAAACCATACCCTAATTTGAATTCTTCATTGGGTTGCTGAACCATAAAATGTAGCTGGTTAATGCAATCACCTTGAACTGCCATACTAGTAGTGGGGGTAATCAGATCACTGAAAATGGTGTTCGAGAAACTGAAAAATCCCAGTCTGTCATCACTAGGAGAAACCACATTAATCTCTCTCTTTCCCATTTTTCTTTCTTTTCTCCTCCAGTTATATCTATTAGATCGTTAATGAATATTTACCTGAAAAGTTCCATTATTAGATCTGGATAAGCTTAGTTCTGCAGGATGTCTTGCCCCAACAATCGATGATTGACAGAAAGCTGCATGATTATATTTCAAGAATGGTTTTTGGCCTTGCTTGTTTTTGTGTTGATGTGTTTTCTGGTGTCAGGTGGTTGGTACATATGGGTATGCTGCTCCTGAATATGTTGAAACAGGCCATCTCACCAGTCACAGTGATGTATGGAGCTTTGGCGTGGTTCTCTATGAAATCCTCACTGGCAGGCGAACGCTGGAAAGAAATCATCCTGTCATGGAGCAGAAGCTTCTAGACTGGGTGAAACAGTTCCCTGCTGACAGTAAAAGATTTAGCATGATAATTGATCCACGACTCAGAAATGAGTACTCTATCAATGCAGCAAAGCAAGTTGGTAAGTTGGCAGATAGCTGCCTCAACAAGAACGCAAAAGAGCGGCCGACGATGAGTCAAGTGGTGGAGAGGTTGAAGCAAATAATACAAGATTTAGAAGGGGGAAGCACCTCCACAAATAGGAAGGGAGGATCGTCTCAATCTAGCTTGTCTAGGCGGAAACAGATCAAGGTTTTTATCTATGCATACTCTTTAATAGTTTGGCTAGAGCCAAAACATAACAATGCTTTTCTGACTAAACTATATCTTTTATAATTTTGACAGGTATAAATGCTTGGATGTGGAGCACAAATGAATGGAACTATTATCAATGCACCTGAAATTCACTTGGAAAAACAAGTCCTAGAGTTGCATGATTTTGTAGATGAGTTGATCCTATTCCATTTCGGCTAAGCAAATGGTTTGACTTAGCTATATCATTCTTTTCTTGTCTTACTAGTATTTTTTTCACCTCTGCGAAGATTATGAATCGAGTGATGCAATAACATAAAGCCACACAGTAAATGGTAGGTTTGTTGTGAATCTTGATATCAAACTTCTGTCTGATGTAATTATAATGATTAATGTAATATGATTTTCATTATATCTCAAGTTTTGATCAACTTTTTGTAATTGTTTCTGTTTTGGTGGTTGGTTCAACGCCTACAGTTGTTCGTTAACGAAGTTCTTTTCCAGGAAATGGAAATTTAATTAATCCTCTTGCATTAACCAGCAGGTCTTGGTAAAACTTGCCTTTTATTCTGATAATTTTAGGTTCGAGTAAATTATAAATCAGCCCAAGAAGCATTACGAAATGCTCTGATTAATTTAGCCAATTTACAAGCATTTGATGGGTTTAAATATTCAAGAGCTGAAGCCACACGTCTCTCTGGTAAATCACCAAGACTTGGCTTTATTCTTGATGGTAGTGGGTGATGGTTGTAAGCATAAAAGCCCAATAAGAGAACAAACATTCGAGTATGTCATTCTTATATGTGAAAGGATATTTTAAATATTATGTTTTAATTTGATGGATTGGACAATAACTTAACGATAAAGAATTAAATGATTAGTTTTATTAAATAAAATAGACTAATTAATTTATTTTTCAAAATGAGAGAGACTAATTTATAATTTGCTATTATAAGTTCGTATCTATTTTATTTGGACAGAAGTCATGAACATATATATATATATATCATGGCAAAACCTCTAATTCTCATCGCTTCATATTCTAAGTAACTTGCTTCTAATGCTAATGCTACAAGAGTGGCGAGGGGAATGCATATATATATATATATATATATATATAGCAGTTTATGACTTGGATGCTGCTCAAAAGGAGCCATGATAAGTTACAAGTAAATAATGAGTTTCTTAAACAAGAGGGACTAATTAATTTATTTTCAAAAATAGAGGGACTAATTTATGATTTACTCGATAAGTTACAATCAATTTTTATTTTTTTAACAAAAATAGAAAGGTAGGTGGATAGGCTATCCCACACTATTTGGCATAGAATATTTGGTTACAGTAATGTATGGAGATGTATATATGCTATATGCTATCAATTGTTGATTACGGCACATGAAATTCGAACTCTAAAACTTACGAAGGAATGCTCTGTGAAGAGTTTATTTACCTTTACATCAATTCGTTATTAACTATAGGCTACAATCATGAGTCGAAATATAAAAATATCTCGATCTGCTTGCACCCTTAACAAGCATGATGTGAAATTACCTTGCTTCAATGGGCGCTTCTGAAATTGAAAAAAAATAAAAAAATTATGCTTTCGCACATGCTTCTATTCTTTTCTTTGTGTTTGAAAAACCCATATATACATATATGTGTGTTTTAACATCATCCTTGTGCGTTATATTTTCATCTTAGTCGCACCTTTTTGTCTGTTGATGTTACTAACACCGTTAAAATTGACACGTGTTGGATCCTATAATATGAAAAATTTTATGAGCACTTTGATCCTTAATGTTTTTTAAACTTTTATTTTGATCCTCTTATTTTATTTTTCTTGTAAAAAACCTTAATTAAAAGCTTTTTTGTCATCAAATTTTACTGTAATGCAATTTAGTCCCTAACTTATTTTTTTAATTAAATCCCTAAATGTCAAATTATAAACCAGGTCAAAATTATAGTCAAACAATTTAAATGGTTAGATTGACAAGGCAAAAGACAGGTGGATTTCAATAGGTACACTCCATTAAAAAATAAAACATTTGTTTCATATAATAATATAGATTTATTGTGAGAATTTTCTTTTTAATATTTTTTATTTTCTATAAAATGTATTTTCTTGATTTTAATGTACAACATTGAGACAAAATAAATAAATAAATAAGGAAAAAAGGACAAAAATCATAATAGATATATTGAAAAATAATATATATGTGGTGATGTGAGAAAAAAAATCAAAATTAAAGTACAAATACTTCCTCAAAAAAACCTAAAAGGACTAAATTATCTTTAATGTAAAATACAATGACTGAAAAGCTTTTAGTCAAGGACTATTATGTAAGGAAAAAAGTGCATGGACTAAAGTAAATTTTTTAAAAAATTTCAGAAACTAAAATGTACTATAACAAAATTTCATGACGTCAAAATATTATACATGTTAGTTTTGGACAGCATCATTAACACCGAGTAATGGAAAGATATGATAATAATAATAAAAAAAAAATAGTATATAGAGATAATTAGTTACTTGCCCGTACTACCCTGCAAGTTTAGTAAAAAAATTATTTTAAAAATTTAAAATTTTTTAATTATAATTTTATTTAATTAATTTTAAATTTTTTTATAAAATTTTTACTTAAAAAAAAACATAAATCATTCTTCTTTATAGATTGATTTTAAAATTTAAAAAATATAATAATTTTAACTAAAATATTAATCAATAATTAAAAAAATTTTAAAAAATATAATTTTCATAATATTTTGTTTCAAAAAAATAAAGTTATAAATAATAGACAGATTTTTACAAAAATTAACAAATGAAAAAAAAATTATTTAATTCTGATGAGAAGATTAATTTTTGAAATTATCTGCACAACGCTATTAGTAGATAGAATAAAAATTTTTATAATTTTTTATTTAATTATTACTATTTTTTTTCATAAAATTTCTTCTTAAAAAAACATAATTTATTCTTCTTTATTCAGAGATTCTAAAAACTTATAATAATTTAAACTTGAAATATTAATTAAGAATTCAAGAGTAAATACTTTAAAATTATATTTTTTTTATAAGAATGTATCCAAAAAATAAAGTTACAATTAATGTATAAACTTGCATAAAAATTAATCAATGAAAAGATAAAATTTTATTCTTATTTAATGTTGGTGAGAAGATTTTTTTTCAAGTATATGCATTAGATCTATATATATTTATTTACAAAATAATCAATAAAATTAGCATAAAAATTGTATTTGAATAATTATTTGGTTCCTTTAAGAAATTATTTTAATTGTTTTATTTCAAATAAATTGGTTCTATAATGTTAAAAAAATATTCATAGTAAATAATTTGAATTATGTTGGAAGATGAATAGTTAATTTTTAATAAATTCAACGATTCAATAGTTTTTTTATATGTCTTGACCTACTGAACTAAGATAAATTATTTGAAATATACTTTTAACCTTTTAGAATAAAATAATTATATATTTACATATACGCAACTATCATTTAAAAATTCTAAGAATTCATGATATATATTATACTAATTTATTTTTTTAAAAAAGAAAAAAACTATCATGTTTTAAAATTTTATTCTAAAATTCAAATATAGAGAAAAATAAATTATATTTATCATTAAATAAAATCTTATATAAAAAAAATTAATTGGTTGACAATTTTCATTAAAGATGATAAATTCAAAGAATGAAATTTAAATGATATGAGTAATATAAAATGAAGTATATGTTAATTTTAAAATATAAAAAGATTTTATGTTTATATATATGTATGTATATAGCATGAAAATGAAAGAAAAAAAAAACCAAGGATCGAGAAAAAATTTTTACGACATGAGGGATGAAAAATAGAAAAAAAAGTTAAATTTGCATATTAATGTCAAAAATACATAAAAAACTACATGCTAAAATTACTTGAATTGCTATCAAGTGAATAATAATTTTATGTATATGAACAGGAAGTTAATAGGAATTTTAGACATATGAACGAGTTCGGATTCTCGCAATACGCCGAGAAACGAACTGAACATATTTATTTCAGTTTAATAATATATATTATACTGTCGGTTAATAAAATATATTAAATTAAATATAAAAGATAAAATTTCATACAATTTTATAATTTTTAATCAAAATTTTGTATCTACATATATAAATTTTTATGTTTTGAATAAATTTTGAAGTCAAAATATTATGATTTGTTCTTTCTTATGCATTTATTCTTGAATAAAAACCCATAATAAACAAATTATAATATAATTAAAAAAAAACACCTTAATATTTTTTTCATTACATTGCATTGAAAAAATAAAGCAATAATTAATATAAAAACTTGTATGAAAATTAACAAATGAAACTTTTTTAATGATGAGAATATTATTTTTAAAAATATATACATTTGATATATATATATTTATTTACAAAATAATAAATAATATTGGTATACAAAGTTGTATTTGAATTATTAGACGATTACTCTAAAATATTATTTTAATTATTTTATTTGAAAAATATCATTTTAAATATTAAAAAAAATAATAGCAAATAGTTGGTATTGTGTATGTAGATACGTATTTGATTTTTAATAAAATCAATGACTTTAATGTTATCATTTTTTATATATCATGATGTACACAATAGGTGAAAATGTATAAAATAAATTAAAAAAATATTTTAAAAAATTAAATAGTAAAATATACATTGAAGTTAATAGAGTGTAGTAAAAACTATAAAAATGATTTCGATAAAATTTGATTATATAAAAAAATAAAAAAATAAAATGCATATATTCAATTTTTAAAATTTGATTATGTAAGAATTAAGCAAATAAAAACAGGTATAAAAAAAAAAACTTATTCAAATCCATACATAAAGAAAATAACTCATATGTATTAATATATAAAATTATAAAAAAATAAGAATAAAAATTAACTCTATGATAATTTTTATCGAAAAAATCAATTCTAAACAATAAGATTAGTTTATAATTATTCTAAAATCTAAAAACATATCGTATAAATGTTAAAAATATCATAAATATATATATAATCATCGGTTTGTATGGAAAGAAATAAAGATTGATTTTTCAAAATTTTAACACCTAATTAAATAAAAAAAGAACATAAATTGATGAAAAAAAACAAAGAAAAAAAGAGAGGCATGAGTAGTGGATCGGTTAGGGGATTAAAATTTTTATTTTAAAATTTTAGAGACCAAAATGAAACAATCTGAAAATTTTTTTTTAAAAAAACCCTAAATTGATGGAAAAAAGCAAAGGAACAAAAAAGACATGTATAGTGAACACAACTTGAAAAAAAAAAAAGACTTACGTGTTTGATAAAATTGAAAATGAAATGCTAAATCTATTAAGTATTGAATAATTAAGTACTGAATATGTTCTTAACAAGTTATTTGGTATTTACTGAATAATTAAGGTTTTCTTGTTTTAGTAATAGGGATAGTAGAGATTATTTTTCAATTAGTTTGCATAGTTAAAATTATAAGAATATATAAGGGTGATAAAGTTATATTTAAAAAGTTTTAAAAATCTTTCAAATTGAGCATGTTAATAAAAAAGTAATAAGTTAAAAATTTTAATTTATCAGTTTAAATAAATTTTGATTGAACTTAAATTTTTAATATGAGATAATTAAAATTATCAAACAAACTTTTTATATTAAGTACTAGAATTTAATTTTTTAAACCACAATAATGAATAATGATT